GGTTTGGCATCAAGCATGTTCATTTTGTGAAGAAGGTCTTTAATGTACTGAGACTGAGAGAGAAATAAGCCATCAGAGGATCTGTGGACTTCAACTCCCAAGAAATGGTGAATTTCACCTAGGTCCTTTAGAGAAAAATGTTGGTTCAAGAGTTTGATAACAGAGTGAATGTCAGCATTATTGTTACCAGTTATGAGGATATCATCAATGTAAACCAGAATCCAAACAGTGGAATGAGTGGTGTGCTTCACATAAAGAGAAGTATCTGAGATTGATTGAGTGAAGCCAAGATGCTGCAGCACACTTTTGAGTTTGATAAACAAGGCCCTTGGAGCTTGCTTAAGGCCATAAAGTGATTTGGTGAGCTTGCATACAAGTTTCTCAGAGTTGGCTACTTCAAAACCTGGAGGCTGAGTCATGTATAGCTCTTCTTCAAGAATGCCATGAAGAAAGGCATTATTAATGTCCAACTGCCTAACTGTCCAGTTCTGATTGAGAGCAAGGGAAAGGACTACCCTTATTGTGGTAGGTTTCACCACATGACTGAAAGTTTCATTAAAGTCAAGACCAGTTGTTTGGCTATAGCCTTTGGCAACCAACCTAGCCTTGTATCTAGCTACAGTGCCATCAGCATGATGTTTCGCTCTAAAAACCCACTTGCAACCAATAATAGGCTTACCAGCTGGTTGAGGAACCAAAGTCTAGGTGTGATAAGAGATAAGAGCATGATACTCTTCATCCATAGCAGCTTTCCACTAAGGAGCATGGAGAGCTTGTTGATGAGTTTTTGATGGATAATGGTGAAGGTCCACTGATTCTGAAACAAAGACTCTTGGGTTTAGATGACCAGTTTTTGACTTGGTTACTATATGATGTGTAGCTTTTTGTGAACCTACATGGTTAGTAGCAGTGGAAACATAAGCAGTATCATCCACAATAGGCAATTCAACTACAAGAGGAATAGTTGTGTTGGATGAATTGGTTGAAGGAGTATGATGGGAGGAGTGACTGATGTTGTGAGGACTGGGAGGAGAGGAGTGTAATGGTGAATGAAGAGGAGAGGATTGATTAGTGTGGTGGGATGTACTGTGTGATGAATTAGGATGTGATTGAGTGGCTGGTGGAGGGTTAGAACTGGTTATAATAGGAGGAGGGTCAAGGGACTTAGAAAGTGGAGCAGACTGAGAAGATTTAGCATGAATGGAAGATGAGGAAAAGGGAAATTTGTATTCATCAAAAACAACATCTCTAGAGACTATGATTTTTTTCCAGTGGGAAGGAGAACCTTGAACCCTTTGTGTTTAGAACTGTAGCCAAGAAATGTGCTAGGTAAGGATCTGGGTTGCAGCTTATGTTTATTATATGGCCTTAGGTTTTGGAAACACAAGCAGCCAAAGGTTTTGAGTGTATTATAGTTTGGTTTGTGGCCATGAAGTTTCTGTAAGGGAGAAGTGTAATGAAGGATTTTAGTGGGTAGTCTGTTTAAGGTGTACACTGCAGCATGAAAAGCATCATCCCAGTAATCAAGTGGCACATGTGAGTGTGTGAGAAGGGCTAAACCCATTTCAACAATAGTTCTATGTCTTCTTTCTGCAAAGCCATTTTGTGAGGAGAGTGTGGGAGCACTATGTCAGATATACTCATATACCCCTACCCACTACAGATAGTTTTTTTGAGCTTCTGAGTTTTTTCGCTCACCGCACACACAGTAGACACGTGGGCTTCCTTATTCCTTGTCTGAT